ATATTGAGAGGCTTTTAGTACCGTCAATTATGATATTGTTCAGGGTTGGCTCTGGAAGTTGGAAACAGTGTTGTAGTGATTTGCTTCCTTTCCCCAAGGGAGGTCCAGCTGTGGCCCATACCTTGTGAATGCCTTAGATCAGGGGTGTCAAACTCGCAACATCACGTGATGTGTCATGACGTATTGTGACTTTTTCCCATTGCCGGCAATGGGTGGGCACGGTTTCGCTATGATGCATCCAACCTGCGGGCCGGCAGTTTGACACCCCTGCCTTAGATTGATTCTCTCCCTGCTCACTTTTAATGGCTACATGTGGCCTCTGGATGAAGTCATATATTAGCTTGGGTTAGATATCATCAGTATGTTGATACTACACAGTTCATTTCAGCCCCTAGTTGCCCAAATAATTCCATCTAGATTCGGTTTCCATTTGTAGATGTGAGGGTATGGGTGGGAGGAATATAAGTCTCAGTTCTAGTAAGACCGCATGGCTACACGTTTTGAAGCCTCTTGAAGACTTTCTATGTTTGGTTCTGAGGACCCACTACCTCAGATAATAACAGACTATAAAATAGTTGTTTGCTGTTTGGGCTTCCTCCTGGATTCATGACTTCTCTTTCAAGAGCAAGTGGCCATCATGACTCTGAGGCTTTTGCAGGAATTTATGCATAAATTATGCCCATTCCTAATTCAAGAGGCCATACTTAGTCACCCATATTTGGTCAATTCCCATCTGGATTACTGCAATTTGCTCTACATGGGACTAACTTTGAAAATCATTTGGAAGCCACAGCAGAGTGCAAAATCCGTTTGCCCATGTAACACTGTTGTGACTGCACTGGTCCTCAGTGAGTTTCTGAGAGTGATTCAAGGTGCTTAATTATCACCTTTAATGCCTTGGGTGCATTTGGGCCTGGTTATTTGCAGCCTTGCTTATCTCTAATTCTCGCTGTCAACCCAGAAAGATTGATTCAATTGATATACCGTGGGTAATATCCCATTGCTTATGGGATCCAGAAACATGCCTTCTTTGTTTCCATGCCTGCCCTTTGAAACATTCTCTCTGGGATTTGGATGGTCTCAATTCTGCTTGCTTTTCTAAAGACAATAGAACTCTGTTTTCCCCGGGCAGGTCTTGTGAGCCCATTTTAGAGATTATCTTTGATTGTTTAAAACAATGTGTTTTTATCTTATTGTATTATTCTTTTGCAGCTATTTTTGCTAGTTTGTTTTCTTTTTTTAATGTCATATACAGCCTTGAATTGCAGGTTGAGGGAATGCCTGTATAAATAAATATTGTCAGATAAATTATGCTAATATTTTTTTCTTCTTAATTTCGGTTTCTGTCTATCCTAAGACCTTTGCTCTTCTTATTATTAAAGAGGAAGGCCTGCCTTTTTGTATCACATTCTCTTTTTTCCATCAGCATTCAAAGGAGAGACTGGATTAGTAAAGCAACCATCTGATCTGTTGAATCTCAGAATTCTTTCAACTCTCTACCTTTAATGGTACTTTAGAGAAGGAACAAATACAGGGTCAATTTGAATTGCCATCTTAGCTTTGCTAAGGCATTTGACTTTATTTCTGTTTAATATTTAATACAACAAGCAATTCAGAAAGAACCAGTGTGACAAGCAAGAATGGATCCCCTAATTCAGTGATGGCGAACCTTTTAGAGACTGAGTGCCCAAACTGCAACCCAAAACCCACTTATGCATCGTCGAGTGCCGGGTGGGTGTGGCCCATTGGGTGGGTGTGGCCCATTGGGTAGGCGTGGCTGCAGTGGTAACGGCAGACTGGGTGGGACTAAAAAGTTCAATCAATCAATTCCAACTTTGCAAGATCTTTTTTTTTCCCTGCGAGAAGTTGAAATTGACTGATTGAACCTTTTTTTTTTGCACATGGCGGCGGAGGCCTAAAGCGAAAAGGTTTTATAAAACCCAGCTGAAGGTCTAGGACTGGGGCGATGGCGCGTATGCCCACAGAGAGGGCTCTGAGTGCCGCCTCTGGCACCCGTGCCATAGGTTCACCACCACTGCCCTAATTCATTGACAAAGGGGATTGCTTTAAACTATTGGAGATTATTGGAGGTGACAGTAGAAAGTAATGATTGACACATGATCATGGGGAGTGAATGGAGGGTCTAAAAATAAAGGATATGTTTTACTCCTAATTCCACCATCTGTTTCCCTTCCTTTAGAATTAAAAATAACCTCTATAGGCTGGGTGAAAAGATGCACATCTTTCAAATTTTCACTGTGATGATTCTGCTTGGGGGAATGTATCAGTGGGTATCTTATTTATAGCCCAGCCTCACTCTTACTGTTGCTACAGATAGTTGGGGTAGGTTATGACAATTTTGAATTTGATAAGAACTCCCAAATTTAATTTATCAGAACTATCCTCCTAAAAATATTTTGGATTCTGCAGGACTGGAAGTTGACTAAGCAATTTACCAAAACTCAGCATCTTCTAAGATTCTCTCCTGATGTTCTCGTTGTAGGGAAAAAGCTCAACAAATTAGTTAAAGCAGCAGATTACAGTATATCCATAGGTTTTGTATAACACTCTTGTAGGACTATAGATGCAATATATTCAATAATTGTTTAGTTACAAACAATGTTGAGAGAAAGTAAATGAAAATTTCAGTTTTATAACCATAATTTCATGACACATTGTACAATAATCTTTTTTCCTCATAAGTTCTTTGGGTATCTCAGATTGGAGATTCTGTTAATTCCTGATGGAGACAGTTAAACCAAATAAAATAATGCTTAATATTTCTCTTGTATTTGGAGCATTTCACAAGGATCCACTTGCACATCAGCATTACTCCGTATGTAGCCAGAGGAACCTGGAGGTTAAAAGAAATATAGACTGCTTCACTAAACTCCCCATTTCAGTTTATTCTAAAAATGGGATTTCAAATAAAGGTTTAAAAAGTTTATTAATTATAAATTCCATCTCTTGGGTAGGGTACTACATTAACTGTTGCTATTTTAAAGTCAGTATTAAAAAGGCAAGCTGGAGAAATTGAGCAACATTGTCTGGAAGGACGTTCAGCATAGTTTTGGGGGAAAATACAATATTCTGGAGTTTCTTTACTGGATCAATAAACGTTAGATATATCTAATTATTTAGCTAATCTTAAATATAAATCACTGCTCAGGAGATAATTTATATTAGAAAACCTGTAACCATTTAAAAACAGATTTCAATAACAATTCTGTCTCTGTCTATATGTCTATCATCCATCCATCCATTCGTTGGTTTTAGATTTTTCTGACATTAAATATATTTCTGTGGCCCAATTTAACTGTATTTGTTATGTTAGTAATTACCAGAAACATAAAACATATAAAGCTCCCCCTCCACCCCATACTTGCATTTTCCCTGATCTTCCCAGTGGTTTCTCTTCTTTCCTCCTTCCCTCTTTGGTGGTTTTGGCTTTTTCCTGCTTTTTTCTCCCTCACCAACACTTTTGCTTTCCACATCTGTGTTTCAATCATAATCCAGAACAAAATAGCCCTGTTTCAGTCTATATTCAGACCAACATTTCAGTTGGATCATGAATTATTCTCTGCATAAAGCAATTTTTGCAAAAAGTGGTTTGAACACCCCTCCTGAACAGTTTATTAATAGCTCCTCCTGCAAGTCAATGGAATCCACGATATTCACCTATAGACAAACAGGCATAGAGAGGCATAACCCTGGTTAGAGGCACTTCTGCTTAGTATTTCCTTACTTTTAACAGAATTAGACCTAACTGGTTGGTTGGTTGGTTTACTTCAATGCAAATGAGAATTTTCCTTAGGGTTATTACTTTGATTTGTTGTTAGATTGCGATAACAATTTAACATTGAATAGAAGTTACAACAATGGAGTATATATTACAGTATTGTTTTCTAGACTTTATTTTATCAAAATTATTGACATGGATATTGCCATATCTATGCACTGCAAATGTTCAAATAAAAATAATTTTTGAAATACAATGATTGGGCATCCAGAATAAATATTTGGCATTTAAAGAGATATTTTGCATATTAGGGATCACATACCAAAATCACATAATGCTTCTGATCTTTTAGGATAATTATATTTTGTAACTATGTACAATCAGTACCTTAGCATGAAAACTGACTTGGTGACCTTGAGCCACTCATTCTCTCTTAGTCCAACAATAGTGGGCTACTAACAGTTTTGTTATTGTGGAGAAAATTGGAAGAAGCATTATATATGTTCACTGCCTTGAGTTTATTTGTAAAATAAAGGTGAGATAAAAACCTAATAAACAGGCAGAAAACTGCACAGCTTGTTCTCCCACATTTGGGGAAAGAGACGATTTCTTATATAATTTAAGAAGTGTTCTATTTAATCTTTTAATAGTACACAAATGAAAATATGTAGAATGGAAAGAATTAACATTAAAAACACTTTTTCTTCTGCAAAGGGAGAAAATGAGAGCTAGCAAAAGAAAGGGATGATTCTCAAGAGCAGCTTTTTTGGTGGCACAGAGAATAATTGATTTTTAAACATAGTTAAAATTAGTTTTGAAGAGGCATTGACATAATACGAGGAGTCTTAACCTATGCCCAGAATTGAGGTCGTATGTTGTGCTGGTCATTAAGTAGATCACCATGTGACTGCACCTGATTTTACAACGTCTATGATTTTACAACCTTTTTCGAGGCAATTGTTGGAGGTGAATCCATGGGCATTTTTTGCAGAAACCAGAAGTAGACACCAGTTTCCAGCAACAAATGTCTTAAATTGTGATCATGTAACCGTGGGGCATTGCAAATGACTGTAATTGCTGAGTGCCCAAAATGATGGGCAGCATCAGAGCTTTGAAGCCGGGTCATGAGCAGTCCTGAAAAAGTCCATGGTAACAGTCACTAAGCTACTGGTCGTTAAGTCAAGGGCTACTGTATATGATTATGTCTTAAAAAATCAGTGTGCTTTGTTTAGTTGCATGATAAAATTATCTGTTGTTACAGATGGTTCTGACTCCAGAGATAAACCAAAGCTCTATCGTTTGCAACTGAGTGTGACAGAAGTTGGTACAGAAAAATTTGATGACAACTCCATTCAGGTGAGCAATACTATTTTGAGACAAATAATTCCATAAAAGTTGTGTTCAAGTTTCAGAGTATTAAAGAATTATGTCTATAAGCCACATTTAGCATATTTGGACAAAAATGTAATTGGTTGCAAGATACAGTTGGGAGGCTAAAATATTTTTGTGACATGTGTAATGCAAAATTTCTAAGTGAGGCAGGGCATACAATGTGAACTCTTCTGTAACATTGCAATGCACAAAGGTCTATTGGAACATTTGAAGAAGATGTACTATTTTGAGTGATGCTGGAGAAAGGCAATTGCATGCTAAATTCTTAAATTATTAACATAAACTTGAGCAGTATTTTAAAATGGTTCTTTGAAGCCATTGTCAAATCCTTCTCATAGCCATACACTATACTGATTTGAGTATATAGTTTTAGTAACAATAGGTACCTGAAGAAAAGACCAATATTAATAGTTATAAACATCTGTGTATTCAGTAAGTGGGAAATGAGACAATCTTGGAGACTGTTCAAGGCTAATACAGGTGTTTGTTCTGTCATTTTGAAATGAGCCATAAGGATCTTGGCTTTATATTTTAACTTTTCTTGTATGAGAAGTTTTGGTCACTATTTGTAAAAAGCCCACCAAATAATGGTCTGCAAAAAATGTGGATTTGCAAATTAGCATTTATGTCTCTTGGTCCAGGCTTGTATTCTGATCTGATGGCACTTGTGATGTATTTTAAATTGTATTCAGAAGTATTGGATTCCTAATGTGGCAAATGAATACTAAGAGGATAAAGGTCCTCAAAAGCCTAAAGAACTGTCTTGTATTATTTAATCATGGCTTAGATTAAATTTGAATAAATGTAAAATATTATTTTGTTTCTGTTTCATGAATGACTTCTAAAATACTTTTGTATCATTTTGTTCAGTGTTCATAGATTTTGCCAGTTGTGGGTTCTGTCTTCATTAAAACATTTTGCTATAATTCTGAAAATAATTCACAATCACAGAAATAATGAAGGATACATTTAGGCAGGAATTATTGAGTGAGAAAATTGTCAGTTCAACACATCTTAGCATAAATAAATAAAAGTATAAAAATTGGTTGGAAACATACTATGGAACAGATTTCATTTCAACTGTTCACTCATCACTTCTTAGTAACAAATGTGGTTCTCAGTTTGCTTCAACAAGATAAAACATAAATAACTGATTTTTTTAAAAAATGAATTTTACTGCTACATTTTAGTAGTTAAAAGGAATAAATTATGGTATATTGAAGAAGGCTACATATTAATAAAATGTAACTTTCTACAATAAGAGCATTCTTATTGGAAAGGAATTAATCACTAATTAATTGATCCCATTACATTCTAATAACTGTTCGGCTTACATAATATTTGATTGATGATTGGATATGTGCCATCAATTTGCAACAATTTCTTTAATAAGAGAAAATGGATGTCTCTTTGAATGAGTTATGTAGATAATTGCATATTTATTAGTTTTTTAAAAAAAAATCCTGATTTTTTTTGCTTTTGATTTGATTATTTGTATCTTCAGTTATTTGGTCCAGGAATTCAGTCACATCACTGTGACCTTACTAACATGGATGGAGTTGTTACAGTTACTCCCAGAAGCATTGATGCTGAAACTTACGTAGAAGGTCAGCGGATCTCTGAAACCACTATGCTGCAAAGTGGTATGAAAGTTCAGTTTGGGACCTCTCATGTATTTAAATTTGTGGACCCCATTCAAGATCACATTCCTAAAGGACGTCTAGATGCAGGTCACATGGTCAAAAGTTCACATCTCAAACCTGGGTAAATCCACAGTTTTTAAGAAGTAATCCCAAATTTAGAAAATTATTTAAGACGGTGAAGGTGTATTAATGTTTAATGTAATGTGCCAACTAATAATGATAATCTGCTCTCCAGTAATTGTTCTCCATTGTGTGAACTCTGATGCAGTTTACACTTCTTCATAATTAGAATAAATGTTAGGATTTTGATAATACTGTACATTAGCGAAATCAATATGTACATTTATATTTTACCTTATGGACTATTCAGACACCTAATGACAACTGAAAACAATATAAGGTGATGCCATTAAAAGTTACAAAGTAGAGTTATAGCAGAGGGCAACTGTAGTAATTAAAATGGAATTTATTTGATAGTGGAACTAGTATCATCATAAAGAGGGTCTGAGTGGTAGGAAGTCACCTACCTTACAAGGTAAGGAATTGTACAATATAAGCATACTCCCCAAAAAGGCTGTTTTCAAAAACAAAAGACCTACCCTATTTATCATCTTTTGAGACTGGCACTTTGCCAATGTTTAGCATCTCTGAAGTTCATCCTTGTCTAAGAAGGATACTTTTTTGCTGTAAAGTTCAGTTATTCAATTAGAATTATACTTCTTCTGTTTACATTCCAGTGTTCAATCCTGTACCTGTACCTAAAGCCAAAGCCTATTGGGTCTGCTAATTTATTTTTAAAAGAAATACTAACAAACAAAAAGTACCCTATAACATGATGAAGTAAATACAAATACATTAACTGGAATTCTTGTAGTATCTTATTACATTATAAAAACATCTAATGCCATACAGTGTTAAAATTCAATTTATATCAATGGAGGAAAAGAATAACCTATTGACAATTGCTAATTAAGTATTTAGATAGTTCTCTAAAAATAACATCATAGTATTTCTGTATTGAAATAAATAAATAAAAATAATCATTGTTAGCAAATTCACTGGAAGTATGACTATCAGTTTCTTTTCAATCCATCTGAAAAAAAATCTGAAATAGATGCGGAGGAATAGTATTTAACAGTATTTCAGAATGAGTGATGCCACGATACTCTATTTAAAATACTTTGTATAGCATTCTGCACTATATCCCAAGATTGACAGAATAACTGATAAACAAAATATTCAGGCTTGGAAAAAATAAAAGGTTGCCTATATTTAGGTAGGTAGGAAAGTAGGTAGATAGGACTTAACACATTTCATTTTGAATTATATTGAGCATGTAGAGGTTTCCACTTCATGTGTGAATCTGTTTTGAGCTAGGGTCAGCTCTGTTTGATCCAAAAAATACTTTGAAAATGCCCAGGATATTTCACAAACTTGAAATGTGAAATTACATGCTGAAAATAGTTTGAATCGAAATGTGCACACCCTTTCTTAACACTTTCAGATACTTTATATTTTATGTGAATCAAATACACAGTGAATATGCTAACAATGATAAATACTGAACAATTGTGTAAGCATTGTTTGAATTATATATGCTTACGTTTACTGAATATTCCTAATCATCTAGTTCTTGAATGTATATTGCCTTCTCAGAGGTGTACAAGAAACTACTTTTGATTTGGAAGGAGACATCCAAAGTGTAACAGGATTATCTTCAAGCAAGGTAACAGTTTATTAGTCTGAATACCATGAGTACTATGAGACTTAACAGTTGATACTTTAAATATATTTAAGAGCACAGGAACATCTCAGTATAACCATTCACTTTTCTGTTTAGTGCTTTGAATGATTTGATGATTTATTTTCACACTGATTTGTCTAAAATGTTCATGGAATTTATGCAAAATATTGGAAGGTGGTTTGTAGCAGCTGTACTATTGGAATACCATATGGTAATGGACAGGCCACCTTCAGTGGGAATTTTTACTTATTTGGTTTTAGAAATACAATGATACATTTTCAGAAAGCATGTTCATTATTACTAGATTTAATAAGATAAATCTTTAAGAAACTTGTGAGGATTCACATATTTTATATGAAAATAAATTTAAGTCCACTAAAACAACTTTTGGATATGTTTCGTATGGAGCAGAGCATCAATAGATTGGACTGTGACAGAATGTCAACTTCTAGCACAGCTGAACGAAGCATGGTGAAACCAATGATCAGAATAGAACAGCAGGATTACCACAAACAGGATGGCAGGTACCAAAAATACTTTTTCAAATTTTGTGACTAAAATTTACACAGTGTTATTTTTAAATTAAAAAAAAACAACAGGCAAGTTTGAGAAGGAAGTTGAATGTATTTTAATGGAGAAAACTAATACTTTGAAAGGTCTTTCCAAATAATAGGTTGTATAATCTTTTATTAAGAGCTCATACTAGTATTTATTTTAAAATCTTACCGCCATTGCAACTCATGGTGTGCCACAGGTTCTGTAGAGTACAATTTTTTTTTGTACTTGTTAAAATTGGTTCATACTTATCTAGCATCCTACCTATAGACTTTCTTTCTGAACAATTCCTAATTCTCCTTGCATTTAAGGCCATATGGTGAAAGGGAGCAAAAGGCTTGTGTTCAGTTCTCAATGGTGGAACCAATGTCTTGGGGTGGTCAAGGTTTACTTCTTTGGATCCCAAAGGTGCTTTTTCATGAGGCAACTGGACTTTCTTGTTTTTCTTTGAAGACATTTCACTTCTCATCCATAGACCAAGGGTTCTTTTAAGCCATGCTAAATCTAGTATTATGTGAGAAATAAATTAAAGCTGGCAAATACTATTCAGCATTTAATATTTCTGTTAAGTACTATAATCTATTCACCTGTAGATTATATTTCTGAAATCAGTCAAAACAATAACATATTAAAAAAGCAAAGTTATCTGGTGCAAAAGACGCAGTGTAACTCAGAGAGTAATAAATTTGTAGGAAACCATGATCACATGAGTTAAGATGAGATTCAGACCATGTACATTCTGCAAATTCCTAATAAATAACTTGCTGTACATACATTTTTAAATTTCTCAGTATTTTGATCACAGTTTCAACTCAGTCTACTGAAGAATATTATTGTGAGGCTAAAATTAAGGGAGCAATCCATCTAAGATTCCTTCTAAGGAATCTTAGACGGATTTCTCCCTTAATTTTAGCCTCACAATACTATTCTTCAGTAGACTGAGTTGAAAGTGATTCTGACTGATCAAAATACTGAGAAAGTTAAAAATGTATGTACAGCAAGTTATTTATTAGGAATTTGCAGAATGTACATGGTCTGAATCTCAACTAATGTGATCATTATTACTCTGAGAGTTACACTGCATCTGTCTTTTGCACCAGATACCTTTGCTTTTAAACTGCTGACCTAACCCCCAAACCTTCATATTTTGAGATTCTTTCTCTTGTTTTCTACCTGTGCTACCTGAACCTTTACTTCTGGGTACTGTGGCATACTGAAATCTGTCAGATGACACTACTGGATGAGCTGTCTGATCAACAACTCTCCTTTATGTAACACTTTTATAATACAGTTTATAAATTAACCGCTCTTTCATTTTTGTTTTGCCCTGGTTATGAGTTTAAGTAACCTGATCTAATTACAGTAGATGACTGACTGTCTTGAACGGTACATTGTGTGCTGCAAATGCATTAATAATGCAGACTTTCAATTCAAGTAGGCTTGCTGTCTTTTCAGCAAATGTAACCTCAGTGAATCTAATAATAAGAGCAGGAAAGTAACAAGATATATTTCCGCGCCCCAGTGTTTTTGTGTTTCATATTGTATACAAAAAATGTATACAACCATAAAACAAAAACCTTTGGAAAAATCTGTATCTCTTGAAAATGAAATTAATTTGTTCTCTTTGAACTGGATTTCTGAAGATCTGCTTTCTGCCTCTAGACTTCAGGATGCACATGGTCCAGAATTGATACTACCTGCAAGCATTGAGTTCAGAGAAAACTGTAAGTATGTATTTTTATTTTTTAAAAAATAAGACTAACAACAACTTTTATTACAAACTATTTTATTTTGATAATATGATATACTGAAAGTTGGCTGTCTATACAGTAGTAATAAAAATAATCAGTGTTTAAATTCATGTCTGTAAATAAATGTCTGGTTTCATATGATCTGGGGTATAAAACCTAGTTTAAAAGTACTAGTTTTGTCGTGAATTTTGTCACAGCCCGGTTATTCGGATCTGCTTTAGTTTACAAGAATGAACTTTCTAGTTTAAGATAGATCTACTATGTTAAATATTTTAGAAAGTAGCAGCCGAAGAAAGAGGAAATGGATTAATCTGCAGTCATTTTGCCAATCTTGCTAGCAGTGATCACGGGCATCAAATAATTAAAGAAAAATGCATGATTTTGACTATCTCATTAAAATAAGAATAATTCCAAATCCATGTATAAATTTAATCAGAAATGTTACTAAATTACTTGCCATGTTTTAGGTTAACAGTGAGGAAAATTAATTTAAATTATTGTGGTGGACATTATTTAGAGTTCTCTAATACAGATTTATTAAACTCCTTTTTGCATTTTGCTTTACTTGCCTGTTATTGCCCATTACTATTTAATTTTCAGTAATTTACTCTTGTAAAAATATTTTGGTATTAATGTTTGAAACATGAAAGTGATCCCAATAATTTAATTTGGGTTTTTTCCTGAAGTGGTGTCTTACTATTGTTTCTTAGGTATTTCAGTTAAGAGTTAGCTTATCCCTTTTTTGTTTTTGTTCTTCAGCTGAGGATACTTTTTTGTCTGCCATCATCAATTACACCAATAGCTCAACAGTTCATTTTAAGCTATCGCCTACTTATGTTCTGTACATGACATGTCGGTATGTATTATCAAGCCAGTACAGACCTGACATCAGTCCCGCTGAACGAACTCACAAAGTCATTGCAATAGTCAACAAGATGGTGAAAATGATGGAAGGAGTTATACAAGTGAGTTTCAGTCTAAGAACCTACTAATTATTTTACATCCACAAAAAAGACCTCACTTTTGCAGGATTGTTTTTACCAAGTTGCGTTTATATTAGAGATCATAAGCACAGTTTGTTTTGGATATCCTAATGCCATTTGTAATTGTGTATGAAATAACTCTTTAGTTGTGACCAAACTGCAGTCAGACATTTGTAATTAATCTACAAAAAATATTGAAAATGTTTTTAAGAACAATGATAATTGTCTTAATATGGAATGGTGAACAAGAGATATAATGATCTGTTATAATGTTAATATTCATAAGTTTTATTGGTAGATCTCTAAAATCTATTTCAAATTATCTTCAAATTTTGTTTGAATTATCAATATTGGTTCAGTCTTATGGAATATGATGGTAATGATGTTACAATCCTATCATATTTTGTACTCTGTCTTTTTAATGGAAGTTGCTGTGAGTAAAACTCTGTTCACAGATGTTTCTGCTGTCAGCTGTGGGTGGGCAATTCCCAAAAAATGTGGGCTGGTGGGTCATCCCTCCAGAAAAACTGCTGTAAAAAGTTGCTGAAAAGATGTGGGTTGCTGCGGTGGGGAGGAAGTGAATTGTGTGTGAACTATGTCTTTTTCTTCAGCAAGATGTCAGTCATAGGAAGATTTCTTCTGTTTATGGAATGAAAACTCTGGATCCAAACTATTGCCCATATATGCAAGGACAATAAATTATTATTGACAATGATAATAATTAAATATGGCAAGCTTTTAAATATAAATAAGTGGTGCCATAACTTGAGCACCATTCATTTTTTTAATATTCTGTGTCCAAATAATTCCATTTACATGAACAACATATTTCCTAGTTATGCAGCCAATTATTAGTGTTTCAATTTTCATTTTCTTTTAAATTATCCTGTTTTTGTCTTCACATGTCTCCTGTTACTTTAATGATGCTGTAAATTTGAAGTATGATTCTGCAAGGACTAATGTGCACAACTGTTCAATAGAAGCCAGTAGAACACTTCTCACAGCAGGCTATCAACTTATTTAGCAGGCTTAGCCGCACTGACTCTACACTTTGAGGCAGGCACTTGTTTAAAGGCATTTTGTGTGTGTGTGTGTGGAGGGGCTTTGAATCAGTTTTTGACTTCTGGCGATTGTCGGAACTAGTTCTTGCTAGTCTTTTATAAATAGATTTAAAATATAGGTAACATTTTTGCATAATAATAATCTATAAGTATTATTTTGATAACCAAGTACATCTCTATTTTCTCCTCAAAATTCAGATTACATGAATACCACAGGATAACTAGTTTGTTAGCTCAGGGACTATTGCACTAAAACCCTTTTATAAAAAGTCTATAGTGGTCAAAAATGAAGAAAATCATGAATATCACAAATACCCCATTAAACAAAAATTTATTAAATGAAAGAACTTTACTGCAAAGCAGAATTACTTGTTTAAAAAAAGCTGCAAATGGGGCGTATTCATTTTGGCAATTAATTGGCAGCATTTTTCATTAACCAGAAGACTTAATATTTTATTTTGTTATTGGCTTGGTATGCAATTTTGTTTTTTAAAATTGTATCTACAATGATGCATTGTGGAGACCCATTCCACTGTGAATACAACAATCCTGTGCCTTTCCTCTCATTTGTTGCTGAACAAAAATATTGTTCCTTTTTTGCTTTCCAGTCTCTTCTCTTTCCTTGCTTGCCTGGTTGAGACTTCTTTTGCGCAGGAGAAAAATGTTTGTAAGTTCTTACCCAGGAGACACTCTTGTAGGGTGGACCAACCTGCCCCCCCTTAGTCACCTCTTCCCCTTTCATGCACAATTTCAGTTTCATTCTTTTCTTCCCCCAACCATTTGTTTTGCTTGATAGGAGATTCTTTCAAACAGCAACAATGTATGTGTAGCCTTGGCTGAGCAGAGAGCCCACTTGGCCAGAAAGCCTGTCAGCTATGGTCAAGGTGAGCTGCTAAGCTACTGCTCCTTTTCTGTCTGAGCACTTCCCATGGCTTACACTGAATATTTGTGTGGTTTGTAAGTCTCTGAGTTTGCTGTGAAGTATTGTTTCAGTGGTTTGGAAGTACTATTTGGAGGCATAGAAAATGACTTTCAGTGAGAAAAAATAAGTGAGACGATAGAAAAATAATACAAGAGTGACTTATAAACTCCTGGATTCCAAGGCTAGTGAAACAAAAAGTATGAAGTTTTGAACAAATTCATTGTTTTGTTTTGCAGTAGTTTTCTTTTCATTTCTCTTAATAATACTGCTATTAGCTGTTATGGCTAGTGTGGTGAAGAATTGCCAAGGTAGAAGACTTTACTGGCTTCCATGGACAGATTTAGATATTATTCCATGCAGGATTATACCATTGGTATTAAGGCACATATATAGATTGGCTGGAGGAAAAACTTGGGCTTCCTCTAAAATGTTTCTCGTATATATCTCTCTTTTAATTTTTTAGTTATATCATGTTCCCCCAGTGAAATGTTTTAATGTGACTGAGCATAAGTCTTGTGCTTTCATATTTTAGTGTTTCATTTGTAAAATTGTCATGATTGTTCACAAGTTTCTTTCTTCTGTTTGATTTCCTTCGTTTTTCTCCAGGAGGTAGACCAGGTTGATCAGGTAGGATATATTGCTGGGAACTGATCCTAGCTATGTTGGCTTAGCTCAGTTTCTCATGCTGCTTCCATGTAAAATACAATATTTCTACAGCTGGATTGAACATAACACTCATTCAGCAACTGGAACATGCAGTACTAAAATCCTTTTTTGACTGCGCAGCCTATCAGCATTTCATAATTTCTGCTTAACGCACTTCAGTACAGAGATGTAATGACAAAAGTTCTTTTCCTTCCTTTTTTTTGTTTATTTTGTCTGTGGTTCTGTTCTTTGGATTTCATCTGAGGTTGCCTGGCCTAGCGTTTGTGGTCGGGAAAGTGTGAGATAGATCAGTACTTGATACTGCTGGTGTCAAAACCAGTGACTAGGCAGTATCTGGGTGACAGTGTGTATTAATGAATGTGTGCTCACACAGATACAGATTACCAGATAATGCATACATTTAAGCTTTTAACATTTCATAACATGCTAAGTCCATTTCATTAATAGCATTTGGAAAATTTAATACTTTATCATTCAACTTGCAATTTAAAGCAGTTGTAACATGCACTATATATTATTTACAGTTTCATTTAAATTCTTTGCAAGTATCTGGTATCTGAGATATGTTAGTTGGTACTGGTCTATCTACAGAGCCTTTAACAGAATGAAAGCTGAAATACAGATGGATTTATGTTGAAGTTTACACCCCTTTTTCAATATTTGCAGAAACAGAAGAATATTGCTGGGGCACTTGCTTTTTGGATGGCTAATGCATCTGAGTTGCTAAACTTTATTAAGCAGGATCGTGACTTAAGCCGAATCACATTAGATGCTCAAGATGTTTTGGCACACCTAGTTCAGATGGCATTTAAGTAAGGAAAACTAATTTATGCTTGGGGATCAGTTTTACTTTTTCTTAATGAGGAGTTGTTTATTCTGATTGAATTCTAAATCTGTATGGAAAGAAAGTAATGTTTAGGTTTTATTAAATTTATACCCCGCCCTTCTCCTGGCGGACTCAGGGCGGCTTACAGCAAGTTAAAAAACAGACAAACCATACAAAATACTAAGTTTAAAATACAATTAAAATGAAATATTGATTTTTTGCCGTTTCTTTTTAAAATTATGTATGTTTCTAAAAGTGGAAATGTTCTGATGTGTATTCTTTTTTTTTAAATAATATTGTTATATATACTGGCATAGTTACTATATTTATTCTGAAAAGCTATAAATGGTATGGTTACAAAACAAACATTCAGTTTGGAGCTGTAAGGAGTATTCAGGAATGTTGGATTAGCCATTGTATTTTAATTCTGGACAAACCCAAAATGAAAAATCAGAAAAAAATGTTAAATATATGAAATTCCTGTCCACCTTTCCTAACTTGTTAAGTAGGGAAATCAATCAGTGATTCCCCCCACCAAAATAGTTAATATCAGTGCCATTAAATAATTAATTTGAGATACTAGTTAATTTTTTATCAGTTTATGATGGCAAAATTTTAATATTTTACTCAATTTTAGTGCTGGAATATTTCTGCATCTTGGAAATAATATAGTAAATACTTCATAACTTGTGAATATATGTGTGTGTGCGTGTGTGTGTGTGCGTGTGTGTATATATCTATACATACATTCAATATGTGTGTGTGTGTATGTGTGTGTAGGCTACTAGTATACTTGTTTGAAAATAAACACCATTGAACAACGAGACTTATTTTGAGTTGGTATGTATAGGGAACATCTATGTCATGAGAACTAGATTTTCTGTTTGTAATGAAATTATTTTTCATAGCACTACAAGCTTGAACTTATTTGCCTACTATTCATCAGTTTCACACTATTTACTTTTTCAGATACTTGGTCCACTGTCTTCAGTCAGAGCTTAATAACTATATGCCTGCATTCCTTGATGATCCAGAAGAGAATAATTCTCAAAGACCTAAAATAGGTTAGCATATTTTATGTTATATTAATTATAATGTATGTTACCTTAACAAGACTGTGATAGCATAATACGGATATGTTAGGAAACCCTGCTTAGTATGTTCATGAGCAATAAGAAATATTTTATTTACGGTACCTAGGGAAGTTGATCGCTTACTAAAAACCAGGTCGTCCATTACATTATTGTTTGTGTGATATTAGAATGCAGTTATTAATGTAAGTACATACACTTAACTATAGAGGTATAAATAAATATTATAATAATCTAATAGGGTTTTACAGTAAAGTCATATGTAACTTCATTGTGGAGAAAAGATACTTTACATAAACCTCAGTGGTTTATATTATTTTACTGAAACTGTAAATAGCGGAATTCTAAAATACTATAGAATAGGATTTAGATGGTAGCATTACTAAAAAAATTGTGTAAAGTTTAGAAGATACTCAGCTAAAGTTTGATGGGATGGAATGCCCAAGAGTATCGTTTTGGAATATCCAACAATAAAACTTATTGTGAAGTAATAACTATAAATCACCAGTGGATTCCTTAATTATCTTGTTTGTGACTCAAATAGGAAACATGTGGACTTTAATTTAGTATAGATTGTATCTGCAAATAAGCAAAAGACTGCTGCTCCCATGTTTACATACTGTTTATGTTACAACTAAGGTAACAGATTTGGCGAGTTACCAATAATATAATACTAATAGCCAATTGCTTGTTTTTGTTTCTGAGAGTCAGAGAGGAAGGGAAAGCAATAAAGAATTAAAATTATAAAAGCTTATTTTTATCCATATCAATTTATTTGTATTAATTATATATCACATTAATATTAAAAGTTTATAATATAACGATGTAGTATAATACATATAATATAGTGATGTAGTATAAAGTAATGTAAGATGTTCAATATTATCTTTCTGCAACAAAGATTTCCATGCAGACTTTAGTTTTTTATATTAACATAGATACATAATTCTATTTAGGATTTATTGCTAACTAAAATGTCATGTGTAACTTTTTTCTTGTAGATGATGTCTTGCATACATTAACTGGAGCCATGTCCCTGTTGCGACGATGTAGAGTGAATGCAGCACTGACAATACAGCTGTTCTCCCAGTTATTTCATTTTATCAACATGTGGCTTTTTAACAGATTGGTTACTGATCCAGATTCAGGATTGTGTTCACATTATTGGGGAGCTATTATTCGCCAACAGTTGGGTCACATAGAAGCCTGGGCAGAAAAACAGGGTTTGGAGTTGGCTGCTGATTGTCATCTCAGTCGGATAGTACAGGTAGGTATTTGAGTACATTATAAAAAAATAAATTCAGTCTTTTTGAGGCACATACATCGAGTTGTATAAGACACCTAAAGTCACTTTAATAAACAGCTTTAGGAAATTAGGAAATCCCCATATTTTTTATTCAGTTCTGCCATATTATTGACCCAGTTTCTGTATCATAATCTGTGGTGCCTTTGTTGAAAGTTCTTAATAGGATGGGAATGCTTAAGCACTAATTAATTGTGGATCTAATTCATATGAGTAGATTTCAGAATGAGTTATTTAATATTCAATCTGTACAGTATATGGGATTCCATAGTGTTTCATTTGTGCCTGATGCTTGCCTTTGTATATTGGGACAGTTTGTCTAAGTATGGCTGGTTTATCTGTGCAAATGGTGGGGAACAAACAAAACTCAAGCATTTTTGGTGATTAGGTTGTGATATCTAACGTTAAACCAATCCATGACAAATAAAATCAAGCCATATTTTAAGTCTGTCCAGTGGTTATGGTATGCTGACTGATTGAAGAAAAAAAATGAGACAAAACATAATTCAAGATGAAAAATGCACTGTGTTTCAATATTTTATTGATGAACCTAAGTAGTACTAAATCAGAAGCATTTTATCTATATTATAGTGTCCACTGCTATATATGTTAATATCAAAGTGGATTTACTTATAATCATCTTTTTTTTTCCAGGCAACAACATTACTTACTATGGATAAGTATTCTCCTGAAGACATTCCTAATATTAATAGCACCTGTTTTAAACTCAATTCCCTACAACTGCATGCATTGCTACAAAATTATCACTGTGCCCCAGATGAGCCATTTATCCCACCAGTAAGTTAATCTTATCTCTTAATTGGGGGGGGGGTATTTTTTGTCATTGATACATTATAATAATACATTGATACTGCTCACTTAACCATTTATTCAGCTATTGTTTGAAGTTGCAATGTCATCGAACAAATGATAGTTATGATTAGTTCTCAAAGTTACAGCCATTGCCATGCCCTGGTGGTCACATGATTAAAATGTAGGGGCTGCCAGGAGATACGTGGGGTCCTTACTGGACAACAGTTCAGTCGTGGCCTAACAGCTGCAGCCAGGACTACTGAAATTACCATCATTAAGTTATGCAGTGCCATGATATTTTGCCTAACCACTTCAATAGTAATGAAAATTCTGATCCCAAGGATTGTTAAGCAAAGCCTATCTGTATTTAGTGTATCTGTTTCCTAGAAAAGTTACTAGAACAGTGTTTATAACCTAAATATTTTCTTCCTGATGTTTAATACTCCTGAAATATCTCTTTATCAAATGAATTAGTCTTCTTAACTGAAACAATGAATATCTGCATCTGAATCAATTAATAACATGACTAACTCCAGACTGCAGAAATGTAGAATTCCCTTGCCTACATTTCCATGTATAATATTGTATATTTTTCCTCTTTCCACCAGGAATTAATAGAAAATGTTGTAGCTGTTGCAGAAAATACCGCTGATGAACTAGCTCGTAGTGATGGTAGAGAAGTACAGTTAGAAGAGGACCCTGATCTTCAGCTTCCTTTTCTTCTCCCAGAAGATGGTTACTCATGTGACGTTGTCCGAAACATTCCAAATGGATTACAGGAATTTTTAGATCCACTCTGCCAAAGAGGTTAGCTTTTTTTTTAAAGTTCGCGTTTATGTAGAAATTATATGTCAGCCCTCCCAGGTAAACCAGACAGGAAACATGACTAGATAAGCTAAATCTACTTTATTTAAAGGCTATACTGACAGAATCTTGCAAGTCTGAAGGTACAAAGTTCCCACCACCGCTTTTAACTGTCTGACCAATTAGGGCAGATCCTTCTTAAGTTTCTTTCCCTGACCATTAAGCAACTGCAGGCTACTTCCTCTAGGCAGCATACTTCTTCTCTTGTCCCCGTCAGTCATCTACACATTTCATTACCCAACCTATTTTAATGCAGTGGTTGTTTTATGTCATACCTCTTGAGGCACATCTTTATTTATTATACAGTTTTAGCTTCTTAGCTGATTAATGACCACAATAAAGTAATTTATTTATATTTTAGTTTCTGTTTGGTCCAATATTCTTATTACTATTTTGTTCGCCACCCAAAATCTATGGATTGGTGTAGGTTACAATAACTGTAAGTAAATAAATGCATTTATCAAGTTCATGCCCAATACTTTTTTTAATGATGAGTCTTTTGTGGAGTGAGTTTTTGGAGGTCTCTGTAGTGTTCTAATTAACTTATTTGAGCATACAGAATATAAGTCCTGTTATCCATTAACATTTTCATTTAGGGTTTTGCAGGTTAACACCTCATCCACGATCACCAGGAACTTGGACAATATATTTTGAAGGTGCAGATTATGAAAGCCATCTGTTACAAGACAATGCAGATTTGGCAAGTATTCATATTGCAGGAGAGACAACAAAATAGATACTTTAAACTATGCAATGAAATATGACATTTGTAGTAATGTGCATCATGGTAAAGAATTTAAAAATTAGAATGTAGGACTCCCCAACTTTGTCTTACAGTGGGAAAAAAGCATTCTCTTAATAAGTCATTGTTGCTTTTTTCTTATTCTTTAGTATTGGAACAATAAGACATCAGGATAATTTCAATGTAAAAAAACCCCCAAAATTATTTCTCAGAAATTATTTCTCTACCCAGTTCTCAATATTTTCTCTTTATTTTGTTTCATCAGGCTCAGCCATTGAGGAAAGAACCTGAAATAATCACTGTAACATTAAAGAAACAAAATGGGATGGGATTAAGCATCGTTGCTGCTAAGGTACTAAATGATTTATTGGTATGAAACATATTACTCAAAGTGATAACAATAGATCATGTGTGAAGCTTAATATGAAATAAATATTGGAGGCAGTCATAGAGTAAGATAAAGTTGAAAAAATTACTTGGTGAATTTTCTTTAAAAAGTTTTCACTAAAGCTGTTATAGCAACTGTTTCATTTTTCAGGCAGCTGCACTTTCACCACAGACAGAAGAGGGTGTCTCCACTTTATTTTAATAAGGAGGCTGGCTGGCATGGGAGCAGATGGTGATGCCCATCATAATATTTCTTGCTCCTTAAGGATAAAAGGCAATGCAGTCTCGCTAGATTTTTCTGTTAGAAGTAACTGAAATCTGTTAGTATGCGACAAATGGCATTTCTCATATGGAAATAATAACAAGTGCCATATATTGTATGCCATATATTTTTCCCCACATGAGAATAGCCTTTGTTAATCCTGAGACACTTGCAGATCAGCTTGTTCTTTACCTCATAGATGACTAAAGGTACAACACCAAAAGCTGAAAATCAGTTAAAGATGCAAAATGGCTGCTCAGATGAATGGGCACATATTTCTTCCTAAAGATTCTATGCGTCTAAGCTCAACACAACAGGATTTTTTTGGATATTGGGTTAAAATGAACACTTCTTTCTTACAAGCAAATATCTGTTTTGTCTTTCTTGTTTCCATTGCCCCTAGCTTTTGAATTAGAGACAGTTTTTGTTGATGTCAGAGTTGGAAGTTGAAACCTGATCAATTTAGCTAAAACATGAATAGATGGTTATAGATTAGAAACTCCCTCCCCCATATTTTTGTCAGTAAAACTACATGGATGTGTCCATGAAATTATCAGGTTGTATTCATCTTACTAGAGCCTTTACTTTTAATTTATCTCATTAGCTATACATCTATATTGTACAAGCAAGAAAGGGTTGCTTGTTGATTTTGTAGCAACCTGCGCATAATCTAAAGTAAATTCTTGACTCACCAGTTTTCACCCACCAGATGGTGCAGTTCTCCAGTATTGAAAAATATTAAATTCATGTAACTAAAAAATAAAGTACCTCCAATGCGATGTACTGTTTGAAAAGTCTTTTTTTTCAGATTATTCTGTAAATATATTTTTATTTATGGGACCATATTAGGAATACAGCTTTGGTGTTATTAAAAAAAGCTCTCTACCTCTGTTTATTTGGGCATAGATAATTTTACAAACTATGTAGGTGCCTTCATATTAGCTGTAATACACCAGTGCAATCCAAATTTCTAACATCTAAGAAGTTATGGACTTATAACCATAATGGGCAGGCTCCATTACAGTGTTAACTTGAAGACTACATGTATATTCTTTTGCTGCAGATAAGCAGCTCTAATTCTCAGTTATTTAAGAAGGCTGTGTAAGAATACTGACATCTTTGAAGGAAGGGTCATAATTCTGTGACTTTTCTATGGATAAGTGATGGATTAGTATGGCCCAGTTATTAAAATGTTGGACTAGAACCTGGGAAATCCAGATTCAGGTATGCCCTCAGTGATTAAAGCTTAGTAGACATTTAGGAAGCAGTTTCTCTCTCTCTTTCTGGCAGTTACCGTATATTCCGGCGTATAAGACGACTGGGCGTATAAGACGACCCCCAACTTTTCCAGTTAAAATATAGAGTTTGGGCTATACTCACCGTATAAGACTACCCCTGTTCCAACGCACACCAAATAAAAATTAAAAAACATCAGATTTGATTTCAATATGGTAATTTTAATTCAAATGCTTATGACATGCAGGTACTT